TTGGTAAACAATCAATCCTATCATGTGGAATAGATAGCTAGTTTATTGAATAAATATTTAAAGACTTAAAATATTAACTTCAGGCCATACTCTCACAGTGTCCAAATAGGATGGAGCTTAGAAGATTATCTTACATTGTCCTGATCTTCCAAGTAGATAAACTCCAGTACTCATGTCATGCCCTCATGGATTTATCCGCATATACGTTGACTACAGTGAAGAAACAGAATCTATACTGTAGTGGCCTAACAGAGTTACAATACACACCTCTTTCAGAAAGTCTGCCGGCCCTTAGAGAATGTGCAGTATAAATTCAATCCTTCTGTCATTTAAAGACTGAGTCACTGACTTAAGTGAAGCAGGATCAGGCTCTAGAGGTTAATAAACTTCCATTAAAGTAGACAGAAAACAACTGAGAAGAGCAAACTTTCCCCAGGTTAAACAAAACTAACCCAAACAAACCAAATGCAACGAGAAACAGATGCATCTTCATGGCCTATGCACACTCTACCTCTGAAATGTTTTCCTACTGTGCTCCACTTAACTATTACTTGTGGACTAATCTTAAACATTTTAGAAATTCTGTACATTTTCTCAATACTTTTCTCAATACTTAAGACACTGACATTTTCACTGCAGCTAAACATGGCCCTGCCAAGAAACAGTGTTTTTCTAGCAGTCAAAGGTGATGTTTACATACCACAACTGGATTCCAGTAGTGCTAAGATCTGCACATATTCATAACTTAGTCTTGGTAGCACTTAAGCATCTCTCTAACATTCCCCCTCAAGCAACTGTATTTATTCTAGCTAAACCACTGCAGTGCTAGATCTTTGTTTTCTGTTGATTGCCATGAGGTATGAATAAAAGTGTTCTCTGCAAGATTTTTTTTCCTGCCAGCTGTTTCCCCTGTGTTGCTATCAACATGACTCTTTGTTACACATAATCATGGTTCAAAATAACTGCTTGCCTTTATACAGATTGCTTGCCACTCACAAAATGTTTTGCAAAAGTTTACCAGCGTTCAGTAGGAGATCAGGAATTTAGAAATCTATGTGACAATGGAAAAAAAAAGTGACTTAACACATTTATAACGTTTGGTTGCATGTGGTCTGTAATTTTTCACTGCTAGATGAAGACACCATGCTGAAAGAGATGCATAATGGAAACACGAAAGCACAGAAAATCGTGATGAGAGCTTCCTGGATAGCACTGAGAAACGTGCTTCCAACCTGAAACTATAAGGGACTCCTTCGGAGGATAAGTGAAGGCATCATGCTCTGCAATATTTCAGCCCTTTGATCTCTTCAGACTACCTGCTGATATTAATTACAATGACAGACTAATTTTTGTGGCAGTCACTAAGGACTGCCACAGTGCAGGTGATTGATTTTGTCTGAGCTGTCTAAGAGCATTTAAAAGGTCAGAACTGCCGAACCAAGCTGCTTTGGGATTTAGAAGTGAAAGGCTCTGTAAAACCCTCTCTATTCACGAGTCACCTAAGTGTTCCTAGGCTCATGCTTAAGTTGGAGTCGTACTCAGGACTCGAGGTGGTCACGAATCAGCACTTCATGTTTAGACTGTTTCCAGGCTTGGAGGGATTCAAAAGAGTGTTTGACAGCCCAGGTCCATCTCTGATGATAACCCCTGTAAGCTGTGCCTGACCAGAGGGTTACCTTGGTATTGTAGGTTTTTTTCATAACACGCGTCTGCAATTTCTGTTGTCATTTTGACTATTAAGGAATCAAAAAAAAATATCATGGAATTACCCAGTGCTTCTCCCCTCATTCTTCCATCCACCATGTTTTGTACAGTTGTGTCTTAGCACAACTGTGTGCAAAGGCCAGTGGCTTCTGTTGCTTTGAGACACTTTACAAAAAGTTATTTTGCGTGCATGCTTATTCCTTCTGGGCACTGCACACGGTACAGCAAAACGACAGATGCTGTTACAGCTCTGCGTGTGGACCCAGCGAGGGCTGGGGCACGATTCGGTAAGGAACTGCTTGCTAAGCCCCATCCCAGTTCTCGTGCAACCAGATGTCGCCAGCGGAGCACGGCAATTCTGCGGGCAGAATAAAACACCCTGCCAAAAAGCCATATTTACGACAGAGTAACTAAACGGACACTCTCGTATTGTCTACTGTTCTAACTGTGTGCACCTCCTGGCAGTCATATCTAGCTTATAGGAGTCTAGAGACGTGGTATATCTGCTCAGATTTCACCAGATGGCACTATAGCATGTACATACCTAAAGGTATAGACGCAATTAAAATCATACATGAAGAATTATGCAGCATATCTAAGAAGGCCCTTTCCAGCATGTCAACTTAAGCCCAAACCTTCCTCTTTTCCCTACTATTCCTACATATTTTCTCTTCCTCTTCTTATGGGATTTAAAAAGAAAAGCAATACTTCTCCAGTGCCAGATATGACTTGACTTTCAGTTCTACCTCAGAGTCGGTTATCTTCCATAAAAATATCCTGCGTTCTCTTTACCACTGTTGAATTTTCTATTTTTCAGGCAGTAAATCTGTTTCCAGATTTCAGGAAACTGAAGCGACAGAGTATCAGCTCTTAGAAAGATTAATGCTACAGCACTTTCAGATTCCTGCTTGACACGTAGGTTCAGGAGGGAAAGGCCCGTGTCACTTTGGCAGATTGGCTTTGGCAGATTGACAGGAGCATCTCCATGAGAAACTTTAAGGCATGACATAGTTTTAAAGAAGGGCAACTGCTTATGACTGCTATGCGTATTGCAGTAATACTTAGATGTCCCAGGCCAAACTCAGGTCTCATTATGCTTGGTACTGCACAGACATAAATAACTTTATATCTTTATATCTAATATCTTTAAGAGATTATAGTCTAAAATGACTAATAGCACATGACAAGCAGATCGTAGACTTTTATACTGAAGAAAAGTCTGTGGGAAGAAGGTTTCATTCAGAAAGTGTTCATAACTTCCCTTCTGCTAGTTTTGCTTCAGTGATTTTTTTTCCTGATTTCTTTTGACTATTTAAGTATATTTACCCAATAGCTGTGCTTCCGAGCTGTTAAGGGGACAGAGCACTTGTGTGTAGAGAAGCAATGTCTGTATGAAATTATTTTTAGGTGAATGCTTACATATTAACAAATTAAAACAAAGAGGAAGTGCTAAAAGCAGAAAGTTGGGCATAATCTCTTAGACCAACCACGGCCGTTTGGTTACAGCTCCAACTGGAGCATCGCTGACCACCATATGATTCTAAGTGGACGTAAGCTTACTGATGAGGATAAAAAAGGCACGTGCAGACTGTCTAATGGAAGAACGCCCATCTGAAAGCTGAACATCCCTTCTCAACTCAGCCTTTATGCCATTATCCTCTCCTCCTCCTAACTTTTCTCTCTAATATACACACACTGCTATCACGAACACATCTCAGTTAGTTACAATTGCCTGGCCTCTGCAGTGATAGCCAGAAGATGGATTTTGCATTGCTGGTTAAATCATCACAGGATAACGATCCCTCACGGTGCTTATACCGTTTGCAAAATTCTCTGCAAAACAAGTGGCCTTGCTATTTCATCCTCATCTTCCAAATTAGTTTCAAGGCAATTAAGTGAAAAGACATCATTTTATTCTTCCCTCCTCCTCCTCAATCAGACCCTCTGAGTAATAGTGAGCTAGCACAGAGAATAATCCTATAGGGCTGTGTATAGGTCCAGCCTATTGGGCTTACCAGATGCTGGTGGAAGGTCTGAAGTGCTGCTGTTTGTCCCTGAAGTGCTTTTTGTGTGCTGGTACTTCATGTCGGTACCATCAGAAGACACATCTTCCATACCATGATCACTTGATAGAGTACTCTGACCAGCAGAGAGAAAATGCAAGCCACAAGAGCACTGTGCATAAGACCCAGTTTCTGGGGAGGTGGAGGCACTGTCAACAGCTGCACAGCAGGATTTGCTCCACTTTCTGGGAGATTCCCTATACGAAACCCCACACCTCACACAGATCTTCTCTGAGTCATGGTTCGCTGCAAAACGATCTGTGTCTTTGCTGTCTATTTCCTTTGGGCAACTGTGGGCATGCTGGCAAGATTTCTGAAGATGTTTGTCCATAGCAGCGTGTGTGCCATCCATTTCGGAGGAAGGGTTGGAGCCTTGAGCGAATGATACGTCCTCTGTGCTCCCAATCCCTGAAAAGCACTGATTTAAGCTATCGTTCTCCCCTATCTCCACTGGTTCTGAAAACGATGACACAGTTTTACTGTTAGGCCGACTTAGTAAAGATAAATAATCAGCGGTACTGAGATCTTTATCCATGTATTCATCTTCCATGGGAATTGGTGGGAAATGGTCATCATTAGTCTCAGATACCACAGAAAACTCTTGGAGGTTCCCTGCTGCCTCGTACGGAGCTGTCTCTGGGCTGCCGTTCATGCACAGAGGGTGACCACTTGCACAACATGTGTTTCCAGGGGGAGAGTAACCAGCAGGACCCAGGAGGCACATTTCTTCAGAAATCTGGGGAGCAGCAGTGTTTGTTATACTTGTGGTAACAAATACATCTCTGGGAGGCTCCTGAATGAAATCCAAAAGAAAGTCATATTTAAAAAATAAATCAGCAGAAGGTTATTTTCCAAACAAAGAAGAAATAGGCAGATCGTAATTCTTCCTTGACCCAGAGCTGCTGAGTTTGAGCAGCACCAGCTGTATTTGAGTCTTGAAGTGTAATTCTATGCTGCTGCAAAACTGTGACCAGTAGTGCTGTGCTCATTGGGTATTTGGATAAAAATCTGGTGGCCTAAGAGACAGTAACATTTAATTTTGGGAGGGGGCTATTGTTAGTTCTTAAAAAGGCACTTAAGAGTCAATGAATCTGTAAGAGTCATTGCATCCTGCTGTTCCTTATGAACCATCAATAGAATGATATTAAGGTCTGATTTGTTATAGGTTTGTAAACACCCTGAACTGTCTGTCTTTGAAGGGCTATAGATCTGTGAAGGCCTTATTGAGAGCAGAAACTTTATTATTAGTAATGCTATATGTAGAAGAAAAACTGAATTGATTCAGATGGCCCAGAACAAGCTAGAAAAAAAAAAAGTCACACACAAACAAGGTTGCTTTAACCTGGAGTAAGGAAGGACAATAAATACAAAAGGCCGTGATGTCACTTTGTCAGTACTTTTCAAAATAAAGCTACATTTTTGGTTGCAGCTCCACAAAAAGTGTGGGGAAATCCTGGAGGCATCAGTTCAAGAATTGCCTTCAGTACCTGCAAGTCAGGCCACAATGATGGGTAGCCGGGAACTGCTACCGACCTTTCATTTCTAGCATCTGTTCAGTTCTTCTAGGATGGAGAAGAGCATGTAAATGCTGCCAGCCACTAATTGCTGCTGGTTCTCACTCCTCCATCCTGGAGGTCTGAGCTGCTGCCAGTGCAGGAGGTTGCACGAACACTTACGAGACAAAAGAGGAACTGCCTTCTCAAGAAGTTTCTTTTGTAGTAATGGGATTTGAGTGTTGCAACCACTCAACTGGACAGAGCTCCTGGACTGGCCTGGGGGGGAAAGCATACATCAGGGACCTGGGACACCACGGTCCATGCCCCCGGTGGGAATCAGGCAGTGCACAAGAGCTTCAACCTGTATCTCCATCTGAGTGTTTCAGCCACAGGGGCTGGGGCTGTTCTGCAGCAAAACCTTCTGAAGGTCGTTCTTTCTTTCACATCCGAATGGACAACACGGATTTCTGCAGGCACTGAAATTAATGGGTCTCAGGGATGTTTTCTTGAACTAACAGCTCTGTGCTTGATGCCTTGCGTGTCTGGTGTTCTTGGCTTTCCCCAAATCTGGGTTTCTCTGGTACGCAAAAAGATGCAAACTCCAACTGACGTTTTTCTTGCTCTTAGGATTTAAAACAGCTCTCTCCTAGATAGTCTCAGAAGTTCAGTAACTGGTGGGATCATGTTGAACTTTCTCCTCTTATAAATATTTAATCATCACAGAGGCTGTTAAAACGGGCCGAAACCAGAGAGGTGGTTCGGAAGCTATGGAAGCTATTGGACATTTCATAAGCCTCACATTCACAGAGACCCAGACTGAAAAAGGCAAAGCTATGAGGTTTTTTGAGAAACAGAAAACTTGTTTTCCAGCCAAAGGTTAATGTGGAAGCTACTGCCAGGGGCGTGCCAGGAATATAATGAAGAAAACATAAAATAGAAAATTTTAATGTCCTGGACTTTACCTTTGTTCCTTTTATTTGGCTGCACACTTCGTTAGCCCAGTTCTGTAGATCCGCTGGAGGGAAAACAAAACAGTAGTTGTAATGTATAGCAGGCACTAAAGCTAGCCACAGACCTAAATACATATAGTTATTCACAGTCCACAATATTATATTAAACGTAAACCATCAAGGCTGTTTTTACTGACTGTTCAAATGTCCCAGCGGCCGTCTAGCCGAGGATTCATTGTAACTGGAATAGGGATATATTCTTGTGGAACAAATGTTTCCGAGCTCCCAAAATAGAACACAGTTAAACTGTGTTCCACATCAAATGGGGTTTCTTTCCTGGTCATATGTCATCAAGCTATGACTGGCCTGATCCCGACCCAGTTACAACCGAACAGTCTATTTCAAGAGGAGTCACATGAATGGCCCAAAGACCATTCTCAGACAGCAGCAAGGAGCCTGGAGGGAAGAGGGTAAGCCACCGAAACCACGGGATGGCAGGCTCAAATACAGTCTATTCCACCTAATCGGGATATGCTTAATTGGGAAACTCACTTAAAATTGAGTATCTCCCAAGGGAAAGCAAAAACGCTTTATAGCAAATACTGCTGCTTAAGAGAAACAGCAATTCTTCTTGCTTTATGCTTTCACTTTCAGGAGATTTTGAAAGGTTCAGGTCTGTGTACATTTTAACCTCGTGCTGGTTTTGCGTGTCTGCAGACAGATGAGCTACTTGGCCGCTGCCGGTTCCAGGCAGTGAGCCTGCTCCTCTGATGTTAAGCCTGCATGTTTACCATCAGTTCCCAAGCAGGCAGGACTTCTTCCTGAGCCTGCAGGTCCTGGGGCTCTAGTTAGCAGGATTTACCTCTCAAAGGCGATGAAAGACCGTCACTGCAGAGCAGCAGGGCAACAGAAATGTCAAATAAAGAGCATTCCCCTGTAACCTGCTCTGCATCTCAAGTGTTTGGTTTGCAAGGAGAGTCACCATTTCCTCCAGCCCATCCCAGAAATTCCAGATTTAGCACAACCCATGTTTAGTGTGGCAGAGGCAGCCTATTTCCAAAACACAGGCTGAAACATGCTTTGCAAGAGAGGGTTGCTGTCTTCGCTTCCACTGCTCCCAAAACATTTCATAAATTCCTAGGGCTTGGGAAAGGAGATGAGGCAAAAAATACACTAGGAAAAGCTTTCCATGTTTAGAGGGAGAAAATAAAAAAAGAGAACAATAAGAGTATGTCTCTAGGAAGACCCAGGGCTTAAAACTCTCTTTTAAGAGTAATCTAAATCCAAATCCAAAACATAACTTTTGAATTTCCCTCATATTCATAATATATTCAGTGCCCCAGTGATAGCTGGTATGTCTTTCCTAGAATTTTTCAATTTTTCTGTTTTTACTATTTCTTCTATTCCTTCTAGTACTTCTGCAGTACCTCATCAGAGCTTTGGCCTTCCGCTGAGAACATTGCCTCCATCATGTTTGCAAATACACATCAGCCTTTTGTCTCGAAATCTGTATTTTAACCAATACAGGTGCAGATTTCAGGGGAAGAGGGGAAGTGGAGAAAAGGAGCTAGGAGGTGGTGAAAGACCTGTCAGTCTTTGCCCTCTCCCCTCCGGGCTCAGGGTCTGCTGTGCCCCCAGCACTGGCCCTCCCTCAGGCCCGCTGCAGCTGCGGGTGCCCTGCCAGCAGTCACCTGTGCTGGCTGCAGGAGGATACCAGGACGATACGCATTATGCATAAGTGCAACGTGCTCCCTGCCCTAGAGGGTAGGGATTCGAAGCCAGGCTTTGCACTAGCTAAAACACATCCATACGGACAGACGTCCAGATAGCACAGAACTTCCAAAAGGGCACCTGAGTTTCTTAGCCCGGCGGTTACCTGTGAAACCAGAGCCAACAGAGAGCCATACAGCTGTCACATTCACAAACACCATTAGCTATAATGTACCTGTGAGCTTTTTTCCCTTATTCTTGTAGTACACAATGAAGATGACAATGCCAATTAGTGCCACGAAAAACAAGATGACTATCAACACGTACAAGATCCTGTTTGTTCCTGTAGGGTGTAAAAAAGATAGTACTGTCAGCAAGCAGCTTATACTCAGCAGTGTTACAATTCTTGTTTATTTTACCTCCTTTTCCATATTTTTTTCCACAGGGTTCTTCTCTTCCTATTTGACTTGAGAATTCTGTAATAAGGACTACGGCTTTAGGATTGATAAAGTTCTGTGATAAGTAGCCTTACTAAAGGCACCTTAAGCAGAGCCACGTCAGTAAAAAAACAGTCTTAGACGCCGTCTTAGAGAGCTGTGAGCCAGTCCAGCTCCTCTGAAAGTCCCCTTGCAATCTGCCAGCCCATGGGCTACGCTTGCTCAGGAGAAGGGGGATATGCAGCTCATGGGGATTATAAACTTCAGCCAGCAAAATCTGGCTTTCATCTCAGAGCATGAAGGATTGCTGTGTGCTAGACAAGCAGTCTCACTGGTAGCATATCCACACCGGAGAGAGAAAAGGGCAATGGGCAATAAGGGAGCTACATTCCGCTGAGACTGTTGCCATTGCTATAAAAGAAGCACTGAGAGAAGCCAGTAGCCTTTATACAGATAATGTGTGTATGGAAATTAGCAGGCTAAAAAATGAAAGAGCTGTAAATGTGATGAAGATGATGGTATTACAGTAATGCTGCTCACCATGCAGTGTCCGTGAGATAGGTAAAATACTGCTTAGTATACTAGACATGGACCCTAGAGCAGCTGGGCTTAAAGTCATCTTTTAAGGTTGGATTTTCTGAAGAGATCTCTCTTGGTCTACAGCTGCTTCCCCTAGAGTCATCCACATGGGGAATGGAGTTAAGCTAGTCAAAAACCGCAGTAAACACACTAGGTACTTTCTAATGAATAACCTGTATGAGGACATATACCATCTTCTGGTTGTTCAGGCATCTTCCATTCTGCACAAACTGTGTCTGATTTGTCAGTCCCAGGGACTATTTCTGCCATTCCCAGAGCAGTACAGCTGAAAAAGAAAGACACAGAAGCTAGATACTCAAAGAAGGGGGTTTGTCATGGCTCCTACACTTATGCGCAGTAATACTTTCCATTGCCCATAACTCCTGTACTTCTCCATCTTTAAAAAGTTTGGATACTGTTTTTATTTTCAGCTCGATAGATTGGATAGTTCTGCTCCCTCTTGCTTTGTCACCCCCCAGCAAGATTCAAGCTGCAACCTGAAAATGCCTTTATTGCTGTGCCACAAACCGAGATGCTCTATGCACTCTGCAGATAGATTGAAACACCCCACTGAAAAATGCTTTTGCTCAAGCTTCTCATTGCCTTGTGGCTGCCATGATCCTTCTACAAGATACAGGGACTTACTTGGTCCAGGATTTACACTCATCCGTGGATGAAGCAACCTTTGAGAAGTAGCCTGCGGGACATGGCGTACACATCGTATCCTTGTCTTGTTGCACTGTGTGTAGTAAAGGAAGAAACAAAATCACAGCTGAGCTTTTGTGAGTTCACTTCAAACTGGGAGTGATTATGTCCACCCATCCTCCCACTCCCTCTCCCCTTCCAAAAGCTTCCCTGGAGAGAGAAGGATCTCAAATTATATTTGAGTGGTAATGACAGCTACAGGTAAACAGAAAAAAGAGCTCAGGTAAGACTAGCGTATTTCTCTACGTGATCAAAATGAGAAATGACCAGAAGCCATTTTCAGTTATTGTAAAATAATGTACAGCTATTATATCCTTCCACTTTCATTAAGTGCCTTGTGTTGATGCAATTCCACCAACAGTGACGTTAACTGGTATTGTCAATTCCATGAAGCGAACAAAGCGCCGTACCAGGATTTGCCAGCTTAGTGAAAAAAACACTATGCTTCAGGCCCGTTTCATTCCGCATTACTCCATTATGTACGTGCTGCTTTTTTGGTGTTCCTTGTACTTGAAACAGGTCACTTTATCTTCCCAGTGTTCATTACGACTCTGAACTGGACCATCTCTAGACCACCTCTATCTAGAGACCATCTCTATCCCACAAAACACCTCCATATTGTTTTCAATCAAACCCAGAGCTAAATTAAATGTCTGTAACAAATCCTTGCATTAAAAGTCATATCAAACAAAGAATATTTGCACTATGTGAAAGCTGTTCATCATTTTAAACTCAGTGTTATAGAATGCGGCAAAGAATAGTCACTCAGCAGAAACTGATTTCAAAGATCTCAGCAACGACCCCCAATGGACCACTTTTCTGACTACTGGAGAAATGCATGTTCGAATGACTGCCGAGTCAAGTACCTTAGCAAACATTAGGAATGCACTGCAGTCCTTGTGGCTATGGCCATGTGCATGCAAAACCTTGCAAATGTCACCTCATTCAAGAAACTATGTAAACTACAGAGACTCAAACCTCTTGCTGTCAAAGTGGCTTTCAAAATGCAAATAATCCAGAAGAGTTAAATGCAGTAACAATGATAATCAAACATGCATCTTCCATTCACAGTGGTCAGAGAGCCTAAGGTACCCGCTCTTCAATGTCAGAACCCACATGATGCTAACTTCATCCTCCAGGCCTGTCCTGGACATTTCACTTTGTATTGCTCCCTCTCCATATCTCACCGGGATGCTTGACTCCAAATCCTGGAGCACATATGGTGTTTCGCTGACAGCAGTCACAGTCGTCGTTCCAGTGGTAACCTGTCGTACAAGCACACTGCCGCTGGAACGTGCTGTTTCCTGGATTCACTTCTTTCAGAGCTTTCCCTAGAAGGGAAAGCAGATGGGAGTAAAAACCTCTCCGAAAACAAGCCTCAATATTATGAACATCCTGCTCCACCTATTTGCTTTGCTTGAATGCTAGATGCAGAACCATTCTTGTTAGAGGAAATGTTGTCTTTCAAGAAGCGTGAGAGACCCTTGATTAGCATGGGGCACCTTACTGATTGAACTACTGACCAATACTTTTCCTTGCAGCTCCTGCAGAAAATAAAAAGAGCTTTTGCAAGTGTGAGGCAACCATGTTAGGGGATGTGAGTACACAATATGCTGGGCAAAAGGACAAACCTTTAAGATCCAAATCACAGAGAGCAACGGCCCAAGTGAAGATAATCAGTTGAGCAGCATGGAGACGATAGTTGCAATGTTCAACAGAGCACAGAAGAACTGACACTCCCTGGTGTCCGGGGACCTCACTCTCTTTGAGGTTCTTCTGTAAGCTCAATCTCCTTTATCATGTACCTAAACAAAGCATCATGTCCAGATCTACTAGCCCATCTTCACACTTCGCTAATTCAGATTAAAAGGTTCCTCAGTATAAACAACTCACCTTGATCACATATTTTATGCAGTAAGCATTTGTCTTCTTCATTCCAAACATCCATATACTCATTTGGGCCACATGGCTGGCACACACTCTCAGAAGTACCAGTGCATTTAGCAGACATATACTTTCCTGTGAAGATGAAAAGGAAAAAATAGGTCATTTGCAAGTTGCACGCCAGCTGTCTGAGGAGCTTAGGTGAAATATAGGCCAGACTAACACTGCTGCACTACTAGGGGATGATCATTTCTTCATGCCACCCTTTCTGTTCCTCGGTCCGGCTCTAACCTAGGCTGGTATTGAAATATCCATGAAACTTATGGTATAGCAGCCATCCTGTCTATGTGCATGAGAATTAAGCTACTTTCTGTCTCCAACAGTGTTTAAGTGCTATCTCAACACAACAGCTGTTATGGCTTTTCCTGAGGTCACTAGAACCACTCCAGCACTAAAAGGTACTCAAAAGCCTGAAATTATGCACCTGCTGGGGTATGTGCAAATAGACTTATGATATCACAGCTGCCTTGCTGACCCTCAGCGCTACTTCTAAGCAGCTTTTCAACTACCAAACACGTATAGCCTAGCGCTCACATACCTGGCTCACACTTTGTGCAGCACCGTCCAGAGTATTCATAGTGTTGCTCGCTTTCACATGGCGGGGTGATCTGTAGCGACAACTGGAGCAGAGAAGGAGAGAAAGGTCATGAGAACCAACATACCTTGAGGTTCAGCTCTACCTACCCACAAATGTGATAGAGAGGAAGAAAACTTCTCTTCATTATAGCATTTTGGATAGCTAAGCAGTAAAACATTACTCAATGTTTATTACTTCAAAGGCTCCTTGTAGGCAAATTAATATGTACTTGATGGTGTACACATAGGGACTTGTAATATAGCCAAATGACAAATAAAAAACAATCTTGCAATTTATCATGAACTTTTAGCCTGTCATATAACCTCTTCTTACAATACTCTATTATTTGAAACCTCTGACCTCAAAACAAGAGTAAAAAAAAAATAATTTGGCATAGAGATGCTTCCATAGCCTCTTCCACAGATATGACCTCAGACCAAGACCTGGGCCACTGACAGTTTTAAAGTATAACATTTAGTAAACTAGTAAAGTTAGAAGTGAACGATTTATATTCTCAAAAAAGAAGAAGTTCCCAGCTTTCCCCTGGGACATACAATACTCTTGTCTAGCCCCAGAAAATATTGGACTTCAATTTTATGGCTTTTTATGGCTCCTGTTATGCCCTGCAGCATTCACCTCATTGAACTGAGGCAGCTAGCCACAGAGGTGATACAAATTAAGTCAATACTTTTTTATTTCTTGAAAAACAGAACAAAATAAAAATGCTCTCCTCCCTCCCCACCCCCCTCAAAGCAGCCAAAATGAGAGGACACCTACAAAACAGTGTTGTATCTAGCTCTTAGCAGCCTTTGCAAACCCTCCCTGATCTCTGCTGCCTGCAGCGGTCCTGCCCGCAGCACAGCATGCTCACCCAGGCTTCGGGGCACGGGTTGCGCTGGGGTGTCCCGGCCTGCCAAGCATTGCTCCTAGCCCCCACTGCCCAGGAGCCTTTTGGCAGCAGTCCTCCAGGCAAACTCAACACCTTACGTCCAGTTGTCGATCATTCTCTTGGGTATGTAGGATGATTATGATTCAAAATCTGGCCCTTAGCAAGGAACATTTCATTGTAATAGGATACAGTTGTTAAAATATCATTTACAGGACACTAGCTTTTTACGTCGAGAAAGAGGCATTAAAACTTCTGCAGCTAGTTAGAAAGAGCTTTCATTATCTGATAGCACCATGCAAGCAAAGGTAAAATTGATATCCATTTCCAATCCCCTTTACCTCTCCTCTTGCCTCCTTTTCTAGTTTCATCAACAGCTATCTCATTATATTCTCCTTCTCTAAGCATCTTGCCCTTTCTAATGCTGGAAAAGGTCTTATAACTTAAAAATGACCAGAGGTTGGAATCTTTCTTTGAAACACCTCGTTTTGGCTTGGAGTTTGAGTCATTGTTTGATGCTTAAATGCGGCGTGTCAAAGCTGGACTAGTTGTATCTGAAATAAAGTAAGTCCCTAAGGTCAAAGGTGGTCTTCTTTTTTTTTTTTTTTAAACATTTGCAGGTTATAAGCACCTTATAGCCATTTTTCATCATGACAACAATCCCAGGACAAGTTAAGAGTCCAGTCCTGTAAAAATACTTCCTTTGTCTCAGTGCTCCTCTGTCTCTTTCATTGTATTTATTAGCAGTGTCTTTCTTGTGATTAGATTATAAGGTTTTTGGAACTAAAATTGCCATTTGTATTTGCACAGCACCTCACACAAAGGGCACCTGGAATCAGAGTAGGATTCCTACCACAATGTAAACACACACATACATACTTATGACAGTTTTCCCTCAGGCTTATTCCTAGCAGATGCCTGGTTCTTTGCCCCATGTATTCAGTATTCAGGCACTGCTGTTCAGGATGAGGGTGAGGGCCGGCAAGGCAGGAGGTGACCGCGAAACAGAAAGCCCGGCCAGCCGGGTGGCTGAGCAGTGGCACCACTCACTGTCCCACGGGAAGCTCCTAGATCACTTCTGTAAACCCAAGGAGCTCCTTTTCCCACCCCGCACTGCAGGTGGTACATGCTAAAACACCACGCTGCCAGCAACGGGGTTGAGACGACGCTGCAGGAGAGGTGATCTTAAGCGACCGATTCCTCGTTCGCAGCCACCCCAAATCACAACCGAACTAACGAGACACGGGACGGGTCAGGTCACTTGCTTTTATAACAGAATGTTCTTTTCTTCCTTCTTTGCCCCAGTTTGAAAGTTCCTCTTTAAAAAAAAAAAAAAAAGACTTAAAAATTACTGAAGGGTCACACAAGGGCGAAGTCATCCTTTTTAAGGAAGAATATGCAAATGTGCTAAAGAGCATTCAGCTAAAGAGTCTGGAATAATTTCTGAGATCCAAATTTGGCATGAACAGGACAAGCAATCCCCTTACATTGAGGCTGGGAGAGCTGGCTAGCTGCTCAGGTACGTTTTATAAATCATTTCATACCTCCCTGCTTTATAGCCTAAATAGGGCTATTGTTACAGTGTATCCACAGCTGCAGCTGCATAAACCTACACTCTGTGTCAATAATTATTCTTTTTTTGCCATCATGTCCTTCCCTCTTTGAGACAAGCTGATACATTTACAAAGGTGCAATATTGTCGTCTTTGATTTATATTCCGTGAAATAAAAGACAAGATTATTGGTGTCCAGTTGCTAACCCCACAGAAGCCCAGCCTCTTCGCAAAGGTGAGAAATTTTGGCCTAGAAAGGACTAGTGAGATCTGATGAGCACGAAAGCTGGTGGGGAGAGAGGACAGGAGGAAAATAAAAGAAACTTCATATTTTCTTATGGTGGGAGCCGATCCAGTGAGCCCAGGCCCTTCTGCTAACAAGGGCTCCTTGTTTAACCACCTGCCAGAGAAGTGCATCATCGATCTATACGTAAGGTCTTTTTTCAGGGGGTAGGAAGCCTGTGAACAGTACTGGCACTCGCAGCAGCACGATGACTCGATGCTTCACCATCACTAATGTATTCCTCTCCACAGTGTCCTTCTGAGATAGGGAAGTGCGAGTCATTTTACAGATGAGGAACTCGCGCTCAGAGACTGACTAACTTTACTAAGGTAACAGGAAATCAGTGGCAAAGCAGGAAACAGAACCACGGCTCCAAAGCCTCAAGAGAGCATTTTAACCTCTGGAACATCCTTCCTCTCATCAAAGGCTGGCGCATAGGTCAGAGTAACTCTGACATCACCGAGTTGCTATCTGGCGAGAGAAGAGGTCGCATGTCACACTTTAGGTGCCCAGTGAAAGCAAAGGTGTCAACCCCATCCGAAGTAATAAAATGAAAAAAAATCCCAGCCTGGTCATTGCCTTAACGGTCTCATTACTGGCGAAGCTTTTCATCAAATCCCACAAGCAGGTGCAGATGGATGCTTTAAAAAGGCCCAGGTACACCATATAAATTTAGTTTGTCACTTAAAGCGCACAAAGCACACGAAATTGTACACTTCCTTAAAAAAAAAAAAAAAGTTTTCCTGCTTCATTACACATTACCTCTGAGCAGGTATATCTTGATAGGGGAAGAACCCAGGGACCAGAGATGAACCTGCTCTGGGCTTCATGGATTGCCAGGAACCTGATTTGGTAAAGCGCACCAAGCGCCTGCTGAGCTTTAAGCACATGAGTAGTCCCATTGTCTTCTTGGGAAAAAACAAGCATGCCCACGGCGAGGTTTGCAGGAGGACTGTATTTTGGTGTGAAACTGCAGATAGCCTTTTCAGCTTCTCTTTTATCTTGTTTTTTTTTTTTTTTTTGGGTGAAAGGGACGCTAAGCAAGAGTGTGCTTGTAGGATCAGAGAACTTCAATGAGTCACAGCTACAAAGCCCAACTGTGTTACTCAGACCTTCAAAAATCACACACAGGTGTTTCTGAAGGGGGAACTAGCAGAATTCAGATTCCTGTCCTCAGGCTTAAGGAAATATTTATTCTTAGTACCATTGAGCAATCTAATGGCAGCAGAAGCTGTGCGTCATGGATGCTAAAATTACTTTCTCGCTCAAATGAATATTCAGACAGACATTTCAGAGAAGATAGAGTTGCATGGGCCCCTTTCCTTTAAAAGAAAAAATCTGGAAGAACAAGCCCGGGGGTTTCCACATTTTTTTTCCCATGTCATTTCTGAACAAGAACCTGACGCCTCAGCTTGGACTGTTCATTAGCGATAATCCTAGTTTTGCAAAAATTGAGATGCAATGTGACACGCCAAGGGGTAACTATTTTAAGATGACACCTTCTTGCTCAGTGTATTTGTTTCTGGAGAACGTTCACGTCATTTTTCATCATATCACTCAGCAAGTCACATTTTTTCACCATTAGGTACTGCACACCTAAAGTACCTGTGGGAGAGTGAACTCTCTTATGTCTGCCTTACGCACCACTTGTTCTTTAAACTCTGGAGCCTGAGTTTGTTCAAACAGCTTGCTTTTGAGATCCTTAGCCTTGCCTGCTGTAGAATACAATATTTCTACTGCTCTTTGGGCTCTATTTGCCTTCATCAAGGGGAATGCTTTGACCAACAATTTCTGACCTAATCTGAAAGAGCTCCTTCCACCACAGCACGCTGGTGGTATTCAGCTAGGACTGCCTCTGCAGTCATTTGCTCCTTTTTCTCATTCAGATATGAGCTGCTCCCTCTCCTCTCACACGTATGAATCGTATGCCTAGAGCCCTTCAGCTATCTACCTACATACCTACCTAATTTAGCTCAGCAATATTGCTGAGTAAAACCAGTTCGTTGCCAGTTTCAGAGACCTGCCTAAAAATTATTCAAGAATAAAAATCGTGTCGGGGTCTAGCTGGGCACTGCTCTGTGGCTGGCACTCCTAGGCACTCTATTAAGGCACAGGATAGTAACACACATAATGGATGACTCTGATAACTTTTATAACTGAGGTACTGTGAGTTTATAAAGGGGAAGAGAAGTTTTATGTGAGAAAGATATAATCACATAAATGTTAAATGCAACAATTCCTTCACAGAGAGCCTTTGCTGTTGATGCAAATCAAAGCAGCACGCAAGCCACAGCTGCGCAATTCCAGTTATTCACTTGCAGG